TTTGAAGTCCAGGCCCTTGTGGCATCATTTTGATGCCTCACCCGGCCCACCTCCTCATCTAAAGGTGGTCAGATCTCCAACCGCGGCCATCTTCTTGGAGACTGCGCTGACCGACCCGCCGTCGAAGAGGTAGCGCTGCACAGCTGAAGAGGACCACCTTCCTGCTCGTTTCACCAACTCGATGTCGGCCGTCGACTGGAACAAGGCCGATGCCCCCCCCAATCCTCAAGGAGTGGGACATGAACCTCCCGGGCGGCAAGCCCACTCCAACCGCTGCCTCCTGGAGGAAGTGCTGGATCTCGATCCTCTTGATCACCTGGCCATTGCTCCACCTGAACGGCGGCTTGGTGCTCTCGGCATGGCCTGGTTGAAACCGCATCGTCCAGACCTGCCTCATACGGTCCAGTGCTTCGACTGGGCAAAGGTGCTTCCTTCCCGTGGCCTGCAAGGTCTTGGTGTCCCCGAAGGCCAGCTGGTCGTTCTTGGTCTTCCGGAAGAAGAGGGAAATCTCCGTCGCCTCCCCCGCCGGCTTTGCCACTCCTTGATGAGAAAGGCGGATGTCGCAGCCCCTCGTGATCATGCTCTCGTCCACTCCATTCGACTCGCCGAACTCCTTGGCCCTCAGCATGAAGAACCACGCCAACTCCAGGGCTGCCAGAACCATCACGGCCTCCGCGTAAGGGACCGAATGCCGGTCATTCACCAGCGGGTCCACCAGGTTCTTGCCCAACCACACCAACATCTCGGGCGTGACTCCCAAGCGCCGTGGCTTCCTGGTAGTAGACCTCCGGCCCAAGGCGTTGACGAGGATCCACACGCGGTGCATGCCCCTACCACTCCTCTTGTGCACCATCTTCATCGCAAAGATGTGCTGCCGGATGGTGTTGGGTGAAGCTCCCAACCAGCCCAGGTATCCCACATAGGCCAGCACCCGGTTCTCGTTCTCAATCGGGTCCACATTGCGGTTGAGGAACTCATCGGGCCAGCCTTGTCGTTTGGCCCAGGCACACCACTTCGTCCATGCCCCACCATAGGCCTTCTCCGTAGCGGCGCTCTTGTCCCCCGTCATGTTTTCCTCCAGCCATTCGTCCACCCGTTCACGAACGTCACCACAAAACGGGGCGAGGCTCTTGGTGAGGTGGACAGCTTGGGCTCCGACCTTCTCAGCAATCTTGATCGGGTCGGTCTTGGCTTTGGTCCGTCCACCAGCGTAGAAACCCTCGATCACGTTGGCGAACTCCGGGATGTAGGCCTCGTCCTCGTCCTCGTCCATGCATTGGGCCCACCACCACGCTTCCGACCACCTCCACAGACTTCTCTGAGGGGGCCCTGTGCCGCCACCAGCCCTGGTGGAGTCGGCCTCATAGGAAGGCGGGTTTCGCCCCAACTCTCCTCTCTTCCATCGTCGGAGCCACAGCAAGATCTGGGCCATGGCTTCTGCCCCGGTGGCATCCGGCATCATCCCGGCCTTACCTGGGTTCAGTTCCCCGGCTTCCCGGGCGATCAACTCACAGAGGATCTGGCCCCCCATGGTCACAAGGTTCGCCGCTGTTTGAATCCCTGTGGCTCGAACCCCTTCGACCGCTGCAACTTCAGCAGAGACGTTGGCCGGCAGATCTCGAAGCTGTCGTCCTTGTAGAACCCACAGTTCTTCAGGATCAGACGACGCGCGTGGCCTCCAGGTCCTCGACGATCATAGACGTAGTAGCCCTGTAGACTGCCACCGTCCTCTGAAAGCAAAGGCCAACGGCCGGGGCCTCCTATCCCGTGGATCACCTCTCGTTCTTCACCCCACCAGACATGACCCGCTGGTTGAGGCAGCATACGATCTCTCGGGATGCCGCTCTCCAGCTCCAGGCGTAAGGGCTTGGTCCAACACAGTTCGTGGTGCTCCTTTGGCTTCAAAAGCGAGCTCATCGGCGCCGGTCCCATGGCCCTGACCAGGAACTCTTCCCAGGCTTCCGGTAGAGCACCATGTGGGTTTACCACCAGGCATCGCCTTCTCCTTGTCAGCGCCTCCCCGTTCTCCGTGGTGATGAAGTCGACGATCCCATAGCCCCATCCTCGGCTCTCGCAATGTCGTTGACCCCGCTCCCAGTTGACTCTACCAGGTCCTTCAACCAAGCCCAGTCGAGCTCCTTCTCGTTGAAGGCTGTGGAGGTACTGCTCCATGTGCTTCCCTTTATAGTCCACCCCCAGCGTAGCGCATAGAAGCACCGGCCTGTCTCCCACGTCCTCGGCTGCTCCCAAGGCACCTCCCAAGGCTTCGAAGTCTCTCAACCACCTCCCTGGGGGGGGCCCCTCCTTCACAGCGAAGGCTTTCCAAGGGATCTCCAGCTCCCTCTGGATTTGTTTTGACACCCTTCTCTCACGAAGCTGGAGTTGGAGTGCACGATCGTCCTCTCTCTCCGGGCCCCATAGAAAGCACACCCCATACCGGGCCGAATCCTCCAAAGCGAATGCCTTTCTCCCCCACGAAGTCATCGAATTCCTCCTGGGTGCACCTGGTGATGAAGTCTTCATCTCCGCCAGGTTAAGGGCCCTGATGAGGATCCTTCCTCCTCGGGTGTTGCTCTTCCGGGATTGCAGCCAGTTCTTCACGATGGTATTGTCACCACCATAAGCCACTACCGCTCCCTTCCATAGGTCCCCAGCAGCACAGGCGAAGGCGACAAAGGACAGCATCTCCCCCAAGTGGATCACGAGGTCGGTCTCCTGGTCCGCAATCTCAAAGTCCGACAGGGCCCGAGAGGCCCATGCTTTCAAAGTCCCGGTGGGGAGGCGTGTCACCTGTCTGTTGGTCCAGTCGATGGCTCCCACCATCGAGGGCGCAGCGTCCGACGACACCCAAATGACCTTCTCCCACTCCCCAGGCAAGCTCAATCTCTCCATCGTAGGGAGCATAGACCTCAAACCTGTGGCGAAGGATTCCCACCGATCTGTTCGGGCACTTAGCCATCGACAAACCTCAAAGAGTTCCCATAGGTCCTCCCACGCTCGGTCTGCCTCCCACGCCTGGCTGCCTTCCCCACGCAGTCGGGGGGTCACCCTTTGATGCCCATCACGGCCTGCAAGAAACTTGTCCGCCGCCTTGAGCTCATTCACCAGGCCCTTCACGATGGATGCCCAACCTGTCAAGATGCCTTGGAACTGTTGTAGCTGCTTGAGGGTGACCTCCTTGGAGCCATAGTCAAAGCAGCTGTCCGCCAGCAAGACCGCCCCTTTCTGAATGCGCCTCTCTGGAAGCGTAGCGGTCTCGTCCTCGGTGCACATGATCACCCCCCACACTGTTTGCGAAGTCTTGAAGGCCCCTTCCACTTTGTCCTTCTCCTCGTTCACCGCCTTGTTTCCCAGAAGCGTCCTGATGCCGTGCTCGAACACCTCCGCGCTCACCCACGGCCTCAGTCCCACCCACGGACAAGAACCCCGTCGTCGACCAAGACCTTGCAGTCAAAACCATGGCCCATATCCCTCCGTGGAATGGACGGCCGGTGAGCCCGATGGAACTCCTCAGTGCTACGCCCCCAGACGGTCCACTCCCCTGACTACCACTGAACCCGAAGCTGGAGACCAGGTAGATCACCGTGATGTCCCCAGCAGGAATGCCATCCAGGTTGACCTCCTCCTCCGTGGCGTTGGGAAATGCTTTCCTCGGGTTCCACGGCAGCTCCCCGGCGAACAACTCCACATCCTCTGGGGCGACCCACAACAACCTGAAGGCCCCAGAAATGTCCTTCTTAGAAAGGAGGACCGGCAGGCCCGGGCATCGACCTTTAGCCCACAGGATGCGTTTAGCAATCTGCGAGTGCGTCGGTTGAAGGGCAGGCGGGTGAAGGAACTTATTCGTCCCGTAGTTGATGGTCCTCTGGTCATGTACCACTCTCACCTCATCCGACACTGAGCGATCCGGCTTGAGCTTCTGCACCGCCTCAAAGGGTGAGGCCATCGTCCCGCTCAGTCCTCTGCTTCCCCACATCCTTGGCAACCTGGGCAAAGACCTTGTCAACATGGCGTCGTGCATTAGGGTGAAGCTTCGCGAAAGCTCTGGTTCGAAGCCCTTGGAACCTAGCCGCCATGCCATATCGTCGAACATCTCGAAGATATTCCAGAAGATGAGGGTGTAGCACGCGGTCCAGCTCCGGGTCGTCCACCTGAGCAAGGTTCATCATCCCGGCCTTCTCCCTTACCTCCCAGAGACTTTCTGCAGCTTGGCGTACTCCTCCCGCGACCTCGACCAGCTTGTTGCCTGCCCGTAGCACGGCCGCCCAGCCCATGGGAGTGTTGTGGAAGTCCTGCTCGATCGCCCTGACATAGTCCTCCGCCGCCTGCCGCGCTGCCGTCGTTGGTGCCTGGTAGGCCGAACCCGGGCCTTCTTGTGACCCGCTCCCCGCATAGGCAGTCGGTCCTGACTCTACCCGGACACTCAACCCCGACTCCGGTTCGTCACCTTCTCCAGGATCGGGCCCTTCATCTTCGTCCTCACCCCACTCCCAGTCGTCCTCACACGGGATCTCCTCATCATCGACCACCGGCATCTCCTGGATGGTGAAGACGGTCACGCCGGTCCACCTACCATACCCTGGATCAGCCTCTCCAACTGCGCGCCAATCATCCGTGATGACAACCTGGTTTGCCCCTTCTCGAAGATGGGTGACTCTCTCATTGGTCAGGTGGGCAAGAGGCGTAGGTAGGCCCATCTCCGACGGGACGTAGAGGGTCATCCGGCGTTCATCATGAACTCTCCATAGTTGTCTGCGGGACGGGTTGTAGTGCCACCGTTGCGGCGGCCCCCAGCGATCGCCTGGTCCAGTCGGGCTGGTGCGGTGGTAATCCACACTGGTGGATGGGCCCACAGGATCTGCCCACACTCCCTGCATGACCTCCTCCCCTCCTCGGTCAGGATCTCCTTGAGCGCCCGCAGCACCTCGAGAGGAAGCCCCTTTTCCTTTCCCTTTCTCGACGGCCAGGCGATACCGCTCAGCTCTCGACAAGCCATACGGGTAGTCGACCCTGGTGGACTTCCTCCCGCCTCCTTCGACATCTGAGTCGGGCTCCGAAGTGGGCGAGGACGAACTTCCTCCTCTAGCGAAGCTGAACCAGCCGCCCCTGCCTTTTCCCCCACCTAGCCTGGAACTCCCTCGCGGGGATCTTTCTCGAGCTTCAACGGGGGCTGATGAACTTCTCATCGGTCTCCATGGCATAGGGATCACCCGGTCCTTCGCTGAGATCACCGCCGTCGGTTGCCGCACCGGATTGGTAACCCCCCCATCAGGGAACCCGAGCACTTCCAGCAGCCCGTCTCCATGGCGGCTTCCAGAGCGGTTCACAAAGCCCAGCGATTCCAGCAAGCCATCGCCCTTGCCGTCCTTTCCTTCAGGAGCTCCGCCGTCTCCAGCAGGTAGGCCGCCACCTCCGCTCTCTCCGCCTGGTAGGGATTCTCCGCCATCTCCGTCAGGTTGGTCGCCTCGTAGGACACCTCCGCCATCTCCTCCGGGTAGGTCATCTCCGCCGTCTCCGCCAGCGTCTCCGCCATCTCCGCCGGGTAGTAGGGCACCTTCACTATCTCCGCCATCTCCGCCGGGTAGTAGGGCACCCTCACTTCCTCCGTCGTCTCCGCCTTGACCCCGAAGACCACCTGCTCGATGACCATCTTGTGGCGTCAAAGCCAGACCCCCCCCCAACGAAGCTTGGAGCACCGCCACCACGACAGACACAAAGTTCTGGGCATAGACCCCTGCTTCAGTACAGCGAGTGACGGTTTGGCCCTCGCGACAACCCTTCAGTCCGATGTGCCGACAGGCCCGGACAGGCTCGCCGTAGCGCCCGCCGCAATGGCGGATGAAGTGGAAAGACCACCCTGGTCTTGTGCACATAGAAATGATCTGGCTCATCAGGGGGTCCAAGACCGAAGGCGCACATGGGCAGGTCGACATACTCGACGTCAGGTCGGTTGAGGATGCGCTTCCAGCACGGCAGATCCCATTGCTTGGGATAACGTCCACTGACGCCACTAGACTCGACTAGCGGAAAGGCACCCGAATCCAGCGAAGCCTCGAAGAGCTCTGCGGCATGCGCACTCAGGACATTGCCCATTGCCTCGGTAGCAGCCAAGGGTCCTTGCCCGGTGCCTTCGGGACACTCGAAGGTACGGGTCCCGCCGTTCTTTTGCTGCCAATCACAGTAGCTAGTGCATGGGGCTGCAATCCAGTGCACATTGGAAGGCCCTTTGCGCACCTCTTCCAGGAACTTGTGGTGGACGTCCTTCCGGCTCAAGTCGAAATGTGCCCTGTAGCCCTGCTTGTCATGGGGGTGCTCGTAGACCTCAACTGGCTCCATGATCGGGCCTGTCTTGCTCCATTCTGCCCCCTTTGCCCGCAAAGAACTCCCTTAGCACCAGTTGCCCGGGTTCATGTGGCTGGCCAGCACTCCGAACCGCTCGAATCACGTTGTGGTCGTGGTGGATGTCCATAGTGCCTCCGGCAGTGGCGGCTGTGTAGGACAAGCAGCTATGCCTTGGTGCATTGTGCGACTCCCCAGCCTTGCGACCTGCTTTGCACAACCTGCAGAAAATCTTGCCTGGTGCGGTGGGAGGTTGATCATGACGAGCATGCCAAAAGAACGTGAACCCCATAGCCGGTGTCGTCTGAGGATCCTCTCTGGCCAGGAAGCGCTCGAGGTCGTAACCGTCTGGCGGTTCCAAGAGGGCCATGTGACCTTTCCAAATCATTGCAAAGGTCGTCCAGCCCCCATCTATCCAGTTGGACCCAATGATGCACTCCACAACCAATCCCCCCCGGTAATCCGCACGGAAAACCACCAAGCGGCAATCGGCAAGGGCTTCCAACGGAAAGACTGCAAGCGAGCGAAAGTCCTTCTCATGGTGAGCTGTGGTGAGGTCATGAATGTAGGTCCTGACTTCGTGCTCCACCGCTGCGACCACCTCCTCCGCCTCGCCGATGGTGTTGGCCGCGTCCACTGCCAACCTGGTCTGCTCCAGCCTCAGGGTTTGTGCTCTAGTCTGGACCTGTTCCACTGACGGCCGTCGGCCCTTCTCCTTCCACTCGACCATAGCCGCCATAGTGATGGTCACGCACTGCCGCCATTCGATGGACACTTCCGGTAGGTGAAGAAGGGCCGCCAGATCCTCCGTCATCATGATGTCCTCCTGGTAGTCCCAAAGCCGCCAAGTGGTGCCGTCGAGCTCGACGCTTCCTTGACCTGGTTGTCCGTCTGCCCAAAGTGTGTCTCGGACCACCAGCCGCGCTGAGCCCGCCTTGGTTCCTTCTCGTTGTTCCAGTAGTTCAGCCGCTTCACGTGCAAGTTCTCCCATTCCATAGGTCGCCATCTCCTGTAGAAGCGAAGAGAGCTCGACCCCGGGCTCCCTTGCAACCCTAGCAGCAGCCCATGCGTACAGATCATCGGTGGATCCCTCCAAAGCCTGAAGAGCGGGCGACTTTCCTAGCTCCTGAGCCTTCTGGACCAGATGCTTCGCCTCTCGCGGTGCCGAAGCCCCTTCTCGACCGCGATGAGGAGGAAGATCACGATGAACATCTTGATGCCAAGCGTAGTCCGGCCCCTGGATCACCTCTTTAAGGTCCTCGCCCTTGGTGTAGTCGACCTCGAACTCCTCCGGAACGTCCCAAAATCGCACTTTTGGTCCTTCTCCTCCAGCTCGGCCATCTTCTGTTGCCTCCTGCTCCCCGGATTCCGTCCCAGCGGCCGCTGGGGTGCTCCCGGCCTTTGACCGTTTCTTTCCATCTTGGATCTTGTCGGTCTTCTCCACCCGCATCTTGGACCGGATGTCTTTGATCTTGGTGGTCACGGTGTCCGGGCTCTCAAGCTTCATCCGTTTCAGACCACCTCGTTTGAGAAGTTGCATTTGCACGCATGGATCCAAATTCTCAAAGGAGCCTCGAAGTCCTTCATGGGAGCGCTGACAGCCTGTCGTCTGGCAGCCAATGTGGCACAGATTTCCCCACCAAAGCAACTTGCCGTGGCGGTCCAGAGGGGCTCGATCTTTGGCCATTCCGACTTCCTCTGGGGTCAGCTTGGGGCCCCACAGTGACTTGAGAGTAGGCTTGGTCTGCGGACCGAAGCTACCTGCACTCTCCCCTGCTCCTCCAGCTGGTGCCGCCGGGTTACGATCTTTTCTGGCGCCCCCCTGCCAGGTGAGGTTCCACAAGAGGCGGTCCTGCTTCCTCTCAATCCTTGGGAGGACCTCGGTCTGGAACCACGAGTCGGGCTTCTCGATGTCGAAGGTTGTGGGCATTACCAACCAGGCTTGTCCGTCTGGTCCAGGGAGTAGTGCGTGGAACTTGAGCTCAGTGAGGCTGATTGTTTCTCTGCAATCTCCTTCTTGAGGTTCCGAAGCACATCTTTGAGCTCCTCCAGAAATCGCCAGTGAATTTCCTCCCAGATGTCGATGACAATTGCCAGAGGCCACCGATGAGGATGAGACAGGTGCCACTCCGACAAGAGGTTGAGGGCGTTAGTACGTACGGCCCTCCACTCCTCCCCATACACCAAGCACCACACATCTGTCTGGCGTCGTACCCGAGCAGTCCATTCATCAAACCTGGATGGAGGTGGAGGTCTCTGGTCGGTGTTCTTCATCACCTTGACCTCGGAGGCGAACTGGTCGAGCTCGGCATCGGTGTAGGAGAGGAAGTCCGCGGCGCCTAGTCCGTACTTCTCCTGAGTGCCCCAGTACGGCCCTGCAATCCCCACAGCCAACCGTGTCGACATCCGTTGGCGGAAGCCTGCTGCCCGAAGCTTCGTGGATGCCCCCACTTGCGCAGACAACAGAGCATTGGCCAGTGCTTGTCCATGTTCTCCTTCTCCCACGCGCACCTGGTACTGGCCACAAGCTCGAAGCAAGAACACCAGTTCCTCCGATTGCTTGTTGAGCCCTCGGATGGTACCCGGGGGCTGGCCTCCAGTTCCTTCCGTCTGTTGGCGGACCAAAGAAGCTAGTTCTGCGGTTTGATGTTGGATGGCCTTGGCAATCTGGGCCACGGGTTCTGCGGAGGCTCCACTATCGGTCCTGGCGCCAGCCCTGGTGTCTGGGCGATAGATCCCGGGAGGTGCCACTCGTAGTCCATCCCCCCGCTTCTCCTCTACCTGAGGCACTTGCTGACCGCCTTCTGCCAATCCAGGGGGAGGTGCTGGTTCCAACGTAGGCCTTGTCCTGGATGCGGAGGCCCGCAAAGACGAAGCTAAAGGCAAGGATGTAGCCCTATCACCATCCTTCTCAGGAGTATCCCCAGGAGTCGTGGTCTGACTGCCACCTTCCACCATACTCCAATCACTGCAACCTTCTCCGTCTCCGCGAGGTCTTTCCAACTTTGCCAGCTCCTTCCGCCAGGTGGTCAAGAACCGAGAGAGCCCCCGTCGCCCTTGCGCCTGCTCGTTCTCCGCCTCCCCCACCAATTGCCTAAGGAGATCACCTGGTGGTAGTAGACGGTCAGCCCCTAGCCTTTTGCGCGCTTGGTCTTCACGAAGCCCATCAGCTTTCCCTGCCGCGAAGATCTCGAAGAACTCTTCCAGCAGGCTACCTGCCCCCTCCGAACCTGGCGAACTGAGCATTCCCATGCGGGACAAGTTTCGACTAATGCTTGATCCTTTCGGGGTGTGTCCTGGGGACCGTGTTGTTCCTTTCCGACGTGGTGTTCTCTCTTTGGTCTCGGGCTCCTCCCAATCGCGAGCTCGTCCCAACAGCTTTCTCGCACGACCACGCTTATCTTCTTCACACTGCGCATCCTCCTTGTCGACCCCGTTCTCCTCGTCGTCATTCTCCTCCTCGTCGACGTCCTCAACCACTCGTGTACGTGACCTCGACCTGGATCGGCGCGCTGAGGTAGAAGAAGGTCTCGTCGGTGTCAAGCTCGAAGGTTCATGTTCCGAGCACCAAACCACCCCATGCTGCAACTTGTTGCCGAACCTTTTGCAGAAGGTCACGCTGCACTTGTCCGGATAACGCCGGGTCAAGTATTGGGTGGCATGTTCCCCGCACAATGCAACTGCGCCACACTGAGTGGGGACATCATCCTGTAGGAGTTGCCCAAAGTGTTGAGCACGGGCACCACATGGCCGGTTGGCCAAACACTGCATCACTCCATCAGGGCCCCGCCATGTGACCAGGCTGCCACAACAAACCAGATGCTCCTCCTCTTGCTCCGATTCTGAACCCAACTCCCGAATGCGGTGCATCAGCTGTGAAGTACCTTCAGTCAGTGGGGACCCTTTCAACCAAGCCCAAAAGTCCTGGGTCACCTTGCGTGCACCCTCACGTGCTTGGGCCATCTGGAATCTCTCCGGGTCATTCTTCCGAACTAACCCGTACACGGCGAAGTGTTCTCCGCCTTCTTCTGTGCAGGCCTCATTCCGGCATAGGTGCACCTTCTCGACATCCCGGAGCCGCCTCACCAAGGCAGGAGAACCGCGGATCGTGTTGCACTCCACAGGGACATAGAGGCCGTGGGTCTTGATGGACTGGGAGTCCGTGCCAATGGCGAAGACAGCTGCATCTTCTCCTCTCTTCACCACCATGTACTTGCGCTGCTCACCAGACCTCTTGAAAGCTCGGAGTTGGGAGGTTTCAGGTGTCCGTCCGGTGGCAGGTCCCACGAACTCAGCTTCAGAGGCTTCTGGAGAGCCTCCTGTAACTCGCTGGAACCAAAAAGCAAAGGCCCCAACTCCTCGTAGTACTTTGCGAAGTAGCCATGCCATCGCCATGCAGGCCCGGATCAAGAGCGACACGACGGGGTAGCAAACCGCCCACACATAGTGAGCGACCAGGCAAAGTCCCAGCACCACCAGGACCTGGAGGAGCCGGCGACACCCGGTGCGAACCTTAGTCCAAGCACTGCCGAAGAGCGCCCACCCGATCATGCCGAAGAGGGTGTCCACGATCATCCACAGCGCCACATCCCAGCTGCCCCAGGTCGAGGCACCTTCCAGCTCTCGACCCCAACTGGCCAGGCCGAGAAACCACTCTTCCGTGGCATTGAGCTGTCGCTCACCACCAGGGAGCCATTCCCTCAGGTGCTGCCGCCATCCTGTCCGCTCTTCCGGCGGCTCCGCATCCAGCGGTCCTTCTGGGCCCGCCCACCAACCATGGCTAACGGCTGTGGTCGAGATGACCACCAGCCTGAGCCACCACATGTGGCTGCGCCGACCCAAAAGGCTCAGAAACCTTCGGGCCAAAAGGACTTGGTCGCGCAAGACCTTCACAAAAGTAACGGTTATGTCTAACCTCCAAAAACGGTTCAGACACCCAATTTGCTTTTTCCGGGCCTGGAAAAAGCAAAAAGCTCAGACTTCCAATCTTCCGATTTGCTTTTTCCCGGGCCGGGAAAAAGCAAAATGGTTCAGACTTACAATTTGCTTTTTCCCGCGCCTGGAAAAAGCAAAAGGCTCAGACTTCCAATCTTCCAATTTGCTTTTTCCCGGGCCGGGAAAAAGCAAAATGGTTCAGGCTTCCAATTTGCTTTTTCCCGGGCCCGGAAAAAGCAAAATGGTTCAGACATCCAATTTGCTTTTTCCCGGGCCTGGAAAAAGCAAAAGGCTCAGACTCAGACTTCCAATTTGCTTTTTCCCGGGCCGGGAAAAAGCAAAATGGCTCAGACATCCAATTTGCTTTTTCCCGGGCCTGGAAAAAGCAAAATGGCTCAGACATCCAATTTGCTTTTTCCCGGGCCGGCAAAAAGCAAAATGGTCCAGACTTCCAATTTGCTTTTTCCCGGGCTGGGAAAAAGCAGAATGGCGCAGACGTCCAATTTTGCTTTTTCCAGGCCCGGGAAAAAGCAAATTGGAAGTTTGTGCCGGAAAAGCAAATGGGGCATCCAGTTTGCTTTTGGGCAGCCTGAAAAAAGAAATATTTTCAGAGAGCTGTGGCCTAATGGATAAGGCGCTAGGCTCATAAGCAGAAGGTCGTGGGCTCGAGCCTTACAGGCGCTGCTTGTTTCCAGGCCGGAGAAGGCAATCTGCCCCCACAGACTGCTTTCCAAATTGGAAGGAATTTCATTTTTCTTTTTCGTGGCGGGCCGGGAAAAAGCAAATTGGAAGTCTGAACCATTTTGCTTTTTCGTGGCGGGCCGGGAAAAAGCAAATTGGAAGTCTGAACCATTTTGCTTTTTCGTGGCGGGCCGGGAAAAAGCAAATTGGAAGTCTGAACCATTTTGCTTTTTCCTGAGTCTGAGCCACTTTGCTTTTTCCCGGGCTGGGAAAAAGCAAATTCGAAGTCTGACATTTTGCTTTTTCCCGGGTTGGGAAAAGCAAATTCGAAGTCTGAACCATTTTGCTTTTTTCCCGGGCGGGGAAAAAGCAAATTGGAAGTCTGAACCATTTTGCTTTTTCCCGGCCCGGGAAAAAGCAAATTCGACTTCTGAACCATTTTGCTTTTACCCGGCCCGGGAAAAAAGCAAATTGGAAGTCTGAGCAAACTGGCCTGACTGAGCCGTCTCTTGTTCATGGAGGGTTGCGCCCAACCAAAAACACACCAACATGAAAATGTCTTGGTTCGCTGGCTTCCTGTTCCTCAGCAATCAATGTGTCAGTGATCAGAGGACACAAGACGTGCCAGGGCAACTATCCTTGAAAGCCTCTAGCCCGAACGAAAAACCATTTTCGCCGACAGTGGTAAAACCCCACGCGCGAAAGCTTGCGAAAGCTTCGCGAAGGTCCTGCGAAAGGCCTGGAAAAAATGAAAGGACTTTTGAACAACCCCCATATGTTCACCTTGAACATTCATCACTGTGGACAGCATACCAGTTGTGGTGCTTTTCCATTCAACCCTAGTTTGGATTGGTAGGTCCATAGTCCATGTTGATCTTTGCACAGAGTGTCACCACATGCTGCGCGTACATGGACAATTGATCGATCCTCCTGTGAGACAGTTCTGGTTACTAGTTCTTCAGTTTGACAGGTGCTGCACCGGATGGTTCAACGATTATATTTAAGTCGAAGACATGTCAACCTCCTAGGCAGCGATACTGGTACTGCTACTTCTGGTGTAGCGGTCGAGTTGTGTGGAAATTTTGTTGAACATGCTGCACATGCTTGAACAATTCGAACAACATCGGGCACATGACTTCGGAGTCTTACTACTGCATGATATCGAGGTCGGAGCTGTCAAGCTATTCGTCCATCTAGTACTTGTAGGTTAAGATTTGGACTTTGGTTCCAAAATGTTCGAATGCATTGGTTCGGAGTTTTGAATAGAAACAACCACTTCGCCATTGCGCCCAGGTCTACCGTCTCTCAAAGCAGTTCCATTTGGATGTCTCTCTCTTCGAGAGGTTGATCCACAATGGAGCAAGCCATGTCGCCTCCTTAGAGACGCTCATGTTGTCAAGGCGACAAGGCAAAAGGGCAGAGGCTGTCCCAGTTTGCGCGACGGGCCAGGTCACGTTGCTTCAACAGAGGCGGATGCATCCAAAGATTTCCAGATTGATCAAGCCGCGTCGGGCTGAATTCTGCCTTGCGCTCCTTGCCGTGCTGTCTCGGCCAAGTCCAGTCACGTCAATGTCATTTCATTTTTTGCCACAAGGTACTATCCCCAGCTCCGTGACCATTCCAGCACAGAGAGGTGCCCAGTTGCCTTACTATCACATTGCCTTGTGCACAAAAGGGGCAGCGTAAAGGGGTTGGCATGCCGTGGGCAATATGGGACCGGGTGTTCAAACATGGAAAGGGATTGGCTTGAACCAATCCCTGCTGACTTGAGCCCTGCAGACCTTAGAGAATAGCTATCAGGACATACAGAATCGCTAGAGCTGCGTGTAGCGTGTAGTCACCCAGCCGAATCAAGCATTGCATTGCGGCTGGATGGGCATTGTCCACTCTAGGCTTTGATTCTCTTCAGTCAGGTTCTCATGATTGTTGTCAGGTATCCTGAAATTCGAGGAATCAACGCGAGAAGCTATTTCATGACGCACTGTCATTTTGAGGCCAGGCTTTGGGTTTTAAGACAGCAAGCACCTTGTCATATCATGTGCACGTTTCTCCGCAGCTGGCTGGTGCACAGCAATTGGATGTCAGGATGATGAAGGGGAGAGTCATTCCCACTTGAACACCTTTGAGGCTTGCCTTGTACAAATCATGTTTCCATATGTTTCCTTTTTATGTATTTCTGCATTTCTTGATGTATTGACACCGTTCGGATGATAGATTTGCAAGAGACGTCACTTTAACACCAGAGGTTTGTTGCAAACCACTATATATATATATATCCTAGGCTCTAGAAGCAGCATGACTTCGCACTGCTCCCTTTTGAAGAGGCAAACTTTGTCAGTGCCTTGTGCGCTCACTTGGTCTCTTGCGGCTATGAGGCTGGCATCTTATATGTGGAAAAAGCGCAGTCCAACTTTTTAGTGGGGAGCTGCTGGAAGGAGTCGCAGATAACTGTCTTATCGCCGTATTTGGGGCAGGCGCTGGATACAAGCTTGAGTCAATGTATTTACAGTACACAAGTGTCAAGCAAAGCTAGATTAGTAGGGTCGTTATTGTGAGATAGCATGCCAAGGCACTGTTTCCATGAGCTTGTGCACTAAGCTTCCAGGTCACCAAGCAAAGAGATTGCGAAAACACTATATTTAATATCACAAAACATGTTCCCCGGGTAGAGCACGACAAATCAAAGTGTGGCTGTGTTGAAACTTGGAGCTATATAAATTCGAGGCAAGAAGCCTCAGCACTTGATTCAGTAAAGTGTGTTTATGATGGACAATCAGAAAATCCATATTATTATGGATAACCTAGTGTTGACCCAGCAAACCTGGCAGACCAAAAGCATCCAACAAAATTGTGTTGTCTTCACGTTCTTTCCAAGCATCCCCGAACGAGTCAATATGAAGGACAAGTGACTCGTGTGATGATTCCAAAAGCTACATAAAACATGAAGAATTCTGCAAAATCTCCCTCCAAACAGGGCAGCCTCAGAAAGAAAGGTAGAGTGATGCTGTATTGACGTTGGTTGCTCTGGAACTGCGCTGAAGCATTTGAGACATGTGTTAAGATTGAAGTCGAAGTCCTTCGTGAGGTGCGCCTTTTGAAAAAGAAGATCCAGCGGGACCCAACAACTCAAAAGATTGCAGTCACAGCTGTGGACAACTTCCAGGCAGGACATGTTCGGATATGAAGAAGCTACTAGGAGCAAAGGGCATCGCTACTAGGAGCAAGGACGCTACTAGGGGCTCCTGGCCTTACTAGGAACAATAAGCTAGAAACAAGAATTAGAATTAGAATTAAAACTCGAAATTTAAGACAGAATTGGACCCTGCAGGGTGAAGAAAATGATATCATCGTCATATCCCTCGTGAGATCCAACAGGCGCGGTTTATTTGCAAACGTGTTTGTTTGAAGCTTGACATAGTTTTGTTCTATTGCAGCATGAGACTCCCTTTATTGCCCGTTCACCACTACTCGGCACGGTGTCGCTCAAAAGAAACAAAGGAAGAAAGACAGACAGACAGACAGACAGAGAGGAAGAATGAGAGGGAGAGAGAGAGAGAGAAGGGGAGACAGGGAGAGGGAGAGGGAGGGAGGGAAGGAAGGAAAGAAGCAAGAAAGAAAAAGGAAACAATAAAAGAAGGAAGATTTGAAGAACACAGCCACCCAACTAACCGCCAAACTTGAAGAGCACAGCACCTAACCAACTAACCAACCACCCAACTTGAAGAAGACAGCATCCAACCCAATCACCAAACTGGAAAACACAGCACTCAACCAGCCACCAAAGTTGAAGCACCCAACCAACCAACCAACTAACTTGAAGAACAAAGAAAGAAAAAATACCGGAACAATAATGACTTGCTCCAAGTAACCGCAAAAAAGAAAGCTTCTTCCAAGTGTCCCGGTTTTGTTTGGCGGATCTACGGTCTATCCATTTTGATCAAAGCAAACGAGAACAAACGAGAAGGATAGATTGTGGAATGATTTGAATGATGCGGTGAAAGGGTGATTTGTGTAGCACTTGTGTGGCACTTTGTGCGGCACACTGTGTGGCACTGTGTTCTGGTCGGAGTGTAATGTTGCAAGTGTGTCCACGGATCTCTAGAGGCATTGATAGGCTGATGTGTGGGTGGATTTGTCATGCAAGAATGTGTGGTGGTTGGGATGACGAGCTGTGGTAATACGTAGGGATTCGGGGGAATTTGTGTTTGTGCGGATTGTGATGTGTTTCTTTTTGTAGTGTTTTTGGTGCAAGGGTGCCTTATGGTAGACTGCTCCGGCCTTTTGTTTTTCCCAAAAGCGCCTGCGAAGGGTTCTGTGTAAGGAACGGCTGCCAACTTCAAGTGTTTGTCCAACTATCATCATCAACATCATCATCGCAATCGTCATCCTCATCCTGATCCTCCAGCATCAAGGTGTAGAGATGTAGGTGATGCAACTTCTACAACGCTGCTACATCATGCTACACATCATAATCATCATTATGATCATAATCAAGGTTCAGAGATGATGTGGATGCTTCAACACACCTACATCATAGTCATCAGCATCACGAAAGTCACTTGTGTGGTTGCCCTTTGCTTGCACAAGCATGCCTCAGCGAGACCTACCAAAGGAGGCGCAATATCAATGCAACATCCCTGTCACTCATTCAGACCAAGAATGTCGACATCCCTTGTAGCGTGAAGATTGTGATGTAGAAGCAAGCTACAGGGGTTGCAATGGATGTAGCAGTTGCAAACAAAGCACATACACGAGCCCATCATCAGCAATGGTTTGGAGGTTGTATCAAGTTGCACAAGCTTGTTGTTCGTACGCCAGGGCTCGACAAATGGGTTTTCTTGCTGCGCGAAGCTTTGTTTGCACTGTTTGTTGCAGCAACCTGCAAAGCATCAGTATCGAGCTGGACGAAAACAGAGGAGCGGTTGTTGCTTCAATAATTCAGGTTGAAAACCGCATCAATGTTGCTCTGACCCGAGCTCGTCATGGCATCTTCATCGTTGGCAACGCAGAGTTGGCCCCGGTTTGCAAGTCGTTTGAGGTTTGTTTTGTTTGTATAGTAGTACAGTAGGTTTGTCCAAATGGTTCTTTGTACTTCAAAGCATCCAAACAGTTGTGGCGCAGCTTTCTGAGGACATGTTGGAAAAGCACACATTGTGGAGCCAAATTCTCCAGGAATTGAGATCGGACCAGCTGCGATCTTAACGTCACTGTGAATTCAAGACATTCAAGGAAGCACGCGAGGTGCAACTGGAGAAAATACACATGTATCATTATATTACTATTGCGTTGATGCAATCCAGCCCGCGATGTTCACACCCAAAGAACTCGACCAACCAAATGTTTCCTTTCGTTGCAGCACCGCACGCTCATGGGCCCTAGGGTTTTCAGCCCGGGTTGCAGTGCGAAATGTTGCGGCGTCTTGATCATGCCTGAAAGCAAAATGACACGCATCAAATCCACTAAGTGACAGATGAAAATCGCAATGCGCGATAGTGCGTTGACATGGCCCAAACGTTTTGATTGGCCCACGACGGAAAACACTCAAAATCATTTCGTTGGCCCCTCACATGCTTTCAAGCTCCGTTGGGTTCTATCGGCAGGAAACGTTTCTCTTCGTCTCTTCATCATTCCAAGTTTTTCTTGTTTGCGTCGTGCGTTCTTTCACTCACTCAGTCGGATTCTTTCTCTGCGTTGGTCCAGGCGCGCCATCTCCTCGGTTTGCTTCTTGTGTCTTTCGCTCTTTTGATTGACATTGGTCAAAAAATGCCGGTGGCATTACTTGATCTGCTCTTGTCCTGAGAACGCATCAGCTCGCTGAACTTGCGCCGCCTTCGAGTGGTAAAGGCTTCTGCCGTCAGTGTAAAGTTTGGCCATCAAGCTCACTCGCAGCGTCCTCGAGTTTAGCCAGCAGACTTCCACTGTCTGACACTGTCTATGACCTGGTTCTTTTTGAACCATTTGCTTCAGTGCACACCATCCCTGCCATTCCTCATCAAGCAACTCATCTTCTGCTGGCCGCTCTGCCAAGCCAAAGCGTTGAGGATTGGCCCACCCTCATCAAGGCCTGAGGTCATAGCATGCGGCGGCAACATGGCTTAAGGCATTGACATTCGCAGGGGTCAAGACATTCGCTGAGGTCTTCGCATCCAAGGGCCTCTCCCTTTCGTTCACCATCATGGTCTTCACCTTCTCAACCAGAAGGTGGTAGACCTTGTACACGAGGGCCGCAGCAAGCAAGCAAGAAAGCAAGCAAGCAAGCAAGAGCATCAAGCCAAAAGCCAGCGGAATCTTCCAGGACGACATTGATCGCTTCCTTTCCTTTTCCATTTCATGATAAATAGCTTCAGCGCTCGGTAGCTCTTCAGCCATGGGCTTCGCAACCGGAGCCATCGCCACCTTTCTTTTCTTGCCCTCCACATGGTCAAGCCGATGGGAATTGTTCTTGTCATCGGAGGAGTCCTTCTCTCCCAAGCAGGTTTACCTGTGAGGGGTTCTTACTCAGGGTTGCGTGCCCGGGCCGCGTGATTTTACATTGCCAGCACACCCTGGGTGAGTCTGCACTTGTTACACGCCACTTGTCTCAGTTTTCTCTGGACACACTTGGCAGGATGGTAGCA